TTGACAATCAAAGATATTTGTATATAACCCCATTGTATGAATGCAAAAAGTGGACCTTCTAGATTAGATTGAAGAGTAAAACAAAGTTAGGGTGAGTATAGGAGGTTAGCATAATAATATAAGAATCCGTCTCTCTGAAGGCAACTCCCACTAGAACCTCTCCCCTTATGCGAGCAAAGGGAGCGACCTCATTGCGTTTCGTACTTTCCCAAGCAACTTTAGATGGAGGATATTTCGGCGCCATTGCGAATAAATCAAACACAGAGGTACATAAACAGGTAAATAAAATGAAATATAAATAAAACTCCAGCTCAACCCCCCAACCCACACAAATACACATAAACCCACAAACATTTTTTTTAAGCAAAACGAAAATCATCCTGTCTCTGCACACTGCACATATTCAAAGCAAAATTAAATAATCCCATCTCCTCCCCCCACACACATATAAAAATACACACACGCACCAGCATGGGCGTGGGACCCCCGACACACAGGAAAAGCGAGAGGGAGGATAATTGAAAGTCAACGGGGGAAAACAGCAAAGCAGGGTAATAATAACTGTGGTGGTGTGTGTGTGTGTGTGTGTGTGTGTGCGGAGAGGGGTGGGGAGAGGAAATGAAGAGCCACGGGACAGACGGCCGCCACCGCTACAGAATGTCATTACACCCAACTGACTGCTTGACGGCCAGTCCATTACCCAGAATGCACGGAGGGTGAAACTGGGAAGGAGAAAAAGAAACAACCTTGCCACGACGAAGGCGACAGGAAATGGAATCCGGGAGAGAGAGAGAGAGACAGAGACAGAGACAGAGACACACACACACACACACACACACATCTTCACTCTCCATTGAGCCATTGGGACCCTCAAAGAAGGTGTGACTTTTTCAAGGAGTTTGCAACTAATGATTTGGGGGGCCTGAGTGGGGGCCTCAGTTCAAAAAAAGTTTTAACTGAACATGAAAAACATGGATGGAACAGGTTCTCTGCGGGTCCTTTTTTTTTAAACTGTTTCTGAGAGAGAGAGACAGACAGACAGACAGACACTATGAGTAGCCTGTGGGACCACCTTTATCAGAGAAAAACAAAATAAACTCTTCCTTTGGTTCTAGCACTAACTGCGATTCCGTTCACGTAGATTTGGCAACGTCAATACCGTATTCCCAAATGTTGAACCTCTTCCAGTACTTGAGTGGGTTATTGACTCATTTATCGAGCATATTCTCTGGAATAATATTCCTCTCGAAGATTATCATATTATTAAGAGCTTGTAGATGGACAAAGACCGGGCATATACTTCAAATCTGTTTGGGAATAGCCTTATCACTCTTCCCGAATTGCAGGGAAATCTGTGCAACGGTAATTGCTTCTCTGAGAAGATAGCAGATGGCCATAATAATTAAAAATAATAAAAACTAATCAAGTGTATCTGATTGCATCTGCTTCAAATTACCCTCCTCGTGTACACGGCCACAGTAAAAGTAGTAAGAAGTATAGTTTTATATATTTAGTATACTATACTTTTCTCACACATGCCCATTGATAATGCGCCATGGTACTGTTTCATGGTACATTTCAGACATGCATGGACTACCAGTGTCTGTCTGCGTGTCACGCCGAATGTTTTATTGGGACAAGAGTGCTGTGAATGCAGACAATGTCTGCTATAGCCATTACCATCTTGACGTCCACCATGTTTCAACGGGCTAAGCTTTTCCTCTGCGACTGCACTCTATGTTCTGTGCCAAAATGGGGCTTTTTGGCACGTGGGGTGCGCTCATGACAGCCACGGGGCGACAGTAACTTTGTCAACCTCATGGCTGGGCATTGTGTGTCTGCATTTGCACGAGCTAGTGCATCAGCCAGTGGGCGCATAGAGAAGACAAATGAGCGGACATGTGTTCTGCTGGCTCTGGGAGATGGTTCTCAGGGGGCGATGCTGTTGGCCTGATGGACGGATTTCAACACTCCCTTCGTGAAATCCATCCAGCGCCGATTCATTACAGTGAGTCAAGGATCAGGATCAGTCCGCATCCATTTTGCGTTCAACACAGTATAATAATGATGGACGAGGATGATCGTGAAAATAGTGAATTGTTGTTTTGTATGGCCCTTGTCTAGGTGCTCAAAGACTTTACATCACAAAGATGCTTAGAAACATGTTGAAAACAATCATTCAAACATTCGCTTTTTTGTTTCATATCGCACAAGTCGAGGGGCGTCATTGCATGTTTATAACACATAATCCCCTCTTCTCTTTAAATACTATTCACTAACACCAGCAGCAGAGCAAACCCAGTCTATTGTTTACCATGCTGTCTTACTTAACAACAACGACAAATCTGCGTACTTACCTGCTAGCTTGCTACCGAAGTGAGGCAGTGGAGGCGCCACAGACGAGCAGAGCAATGTCAAGTGTAAAACCTCGTCTGACTGCCTACTATTCGGCACACTTTGCCAGTAGCTCTTAAAAATGCCACCACAGATAAGATAGCAAGATTTATATGCAAAGATATGCGGCTGATTGGTATTGTTTTGGGTGAGGGGTTTCAGGATCTCATGGTGGAACTGGAGCCATGATATAAAATTCCAAGGCGAACCACAATCTCAACAAACATAGTACAAATAATTGTGTGACATCAGATGGAAAAATCTAAAGACTAAAGGATAAGACACTCACTCTTTCCACAGACGGCTGGACATCCCTGGCCACACACGCTTATGTGGCAGTCACAGCTCACTGTATTTAAGACCCATGGGAACTTGACAATTATGTTCTGTGTACTGAGAGCTGAGAGGAAGCCACACCGCTGTCCATGTTGCAGAAAGCATCGGCAGCACGCTGGATGAATTTGACATCTCCCGTAAAGCGGTTGCATCCTGTCGCCACGGACAATGCTCTGAACTATGTGAACGCCATACACATTTAGAGTTTATTAATGTACCCTGTTTGGCCCACACGCTAAACCTGTGAGCAAAGAGAATGATGTGAAAGCCCTTGATTTGGCCCTTTCCAGACTAACTAACTGAACAAACTGTAGCTCATTTTGGAGGGTCTCCCATCAGACAGCTGCCTGCTGGAAAAAAAGCAGAGCTCCTTGGATTAAAAAAAAAGACTAGTAAATGGCTGCGCCACCAGATGGAGTATCACCTATGACATGATATGTCATGCATCTGAGCAACAAGCAGCAGTGGCAGCCGTCATTTGTGAGTGGTCTATGGTTGAGCAACTAAAAGACACACTGAAACCTTTCAAAGGTAGGGTGGCAACTCAGGCCCTCTCTCCACCGTTGCCTACCCCACAGCATAAGCTGTCCTACCGCTGCAGCATGTCATGATATCTCAGCTGAGCAGCACCCACGCATTGCATAAATCAGCCATCAAAGCTTTGAGAGGTATTTGACTTTTAATTTTTATTAAATATTAAGTCCTCAAATTAGCAAGATTAGAAAGATCAAATTAGTGTGTGATATAGGGCTTCATTTATTTCATTCTTTTCAGAGGCAGGATGGTGGCAAATCTGAAAATGTGCTACAGTGAAGAGAGCAGCTCTGGATGCTTCTCAATAAAGCGGCCTTCCTGGACCCCCGGTTCTCATGCTTAGTCCATCTTTCATCTGAAGAGAGAAATCTAGTCAGCAATAGCTTATCAGAAGAGATTAAGGAACATGAGAGAGACAATGACTGTACACAAGCACAAGCAGAAGAAGAGACGGCTGCCCTGAGTGTGATGGGAAGCCTGTTTGGGGACTTGTTTCGAGTGACTTTTGCAAACGCAACGGGGACGCCATTCAGGAGATGCAATCTTGCATGAAGGAGACTCCTTTAACTGCAGACAGTAACCCACTGCTTTGGTGGAGAGATACAGGGTGCAATAGATACCCGCAGCTCTCAAAGCTGGCTCGTAAATACCTGTCTGTATGCTCTGAACAGCTGTTCTTGTCGGCAGGTAATATTGTAAATAAAAAGAGAACCGCACTTAATCCCGATCACATTGAAAGACTTGTGTTTCTGGTGAATAATATTAGAAATTAAGTCGGGCCGTTCGGCTTGCCAATCAGTTCTATGTTTTACCTTGTTTGCTACATTTTTAGTTCAAAGCTATTCTCTCCTGTTGTCTGTGATTTGACATTTTCTATTCAGGAAGGCTTTTTCATCTTTCATTCATTCGAATTCATTCGACCGAATTGCATGTCATTTCAAATTTGTTCGAACTTGATTTTTTGAAAAAGTGACAGCTCTATATTCCTCTATATAAATATTTAGACCATAACTCCATAACGCCTTCATATATATATATATATATATATATATATGACGTTTTTATTTTTATACGTCCAAAAACAAAACTACATATGAAATTATATGTTATATATTTCCTGTCAAGGTCTGAAAAACAAGGAACAAAAGAGTGGCCATCCTCACTGATTGAAGGGCATGAGTGTGAGAACATGCATGAACATTTTTGATTGTGTGTCATCCACTTAACACTGGCCTGTCTCCTCAGTTAATCAGGTGATTGAAGCTGCTGTAGGTAACATTCAAGAGTTGTGAAAAAAGAGAAGGAAAGAGCAGAAGAGAGCAAGATTTTGAAACTAAACAACCAAAAAAACATCACCTTCCTCTCTGCTCCCTCTCTCCCTATGTTCCTCCGCCATTGAGCAGTGCAGCATTTCATGCACCTGTGTTTGACAGGCAAGATGGATTCCTCAAACCAATCAGGGAAGAGATGTTGGTCAGAAATAACTGGGAACTGTCTAAAATCCTAATTACAGAGAGCACATACAGAGGCAGCGGCCAACTCGTAACATATATTCTTATAGCCCATTTCATTCACTAATAGCTGACGGATAGCTATGCCATTTCTAACAAATTACACTCAAATAATAGCTCTTAAATCTTACCTACAGCACCTTTAACCGGCAGCAAGTGGTCGAAATGCACTCAAACCATTATTCAACCAAAGGGAAAAAAAAACATTTTTTTCCAAGGTCCTGTGTAGCTCAACTGGTAGAGCATGGCATTAACACTGCCAGGGTTAGGGATTTAATTGCCACTGAGGCCACCCAAGAATATATGCACTCAGGGTATGTTAAGACACTTTGGATAAAAGCTTCACCAATTGCATATGTTTATGTCATTTTTGTACTATTTAGTCATTTAGCAGATGCTTTTATCCAGATGCACATTATTAAGTAGCAGATAGTGTTTAGGTATCTTGGCAGACATTAGGGACCAAATCTATTACTTTTAAAGATGTGAGTCAAACACCTTAGCTACTGTGCTATCCTAAACTATGTATTGTTTATCCTACATGTGTTCCACATAGATATAACCATGCTGGTGTCATACTTAGTATTTCTCAAATAACCATAAACATTGGTACATATGGAGGTATTGTTGCTGCATCATTTCATGAATACTTTTAATAAAAATATGATCACTCACAGGAGCTGTCAGGACTAATGCTAACACTTCAAACATGTCTTTTTTTACAAGGAGTTGTATTACAGGGAAACAGCATTACACCTTGAGCCAAACAGGCGTGAACTCTTAATCTTTTTTTAAGCCGGGATCTGTGGCAACCGACGTGTAATAAAAAGGGCTTTGAGGCTGTCAGTCGCTGCCAAAAAAATGGCAACGTGTGTCATGTAGCCAGATTTTGATGCAGACTTTTTTCTTTTTATTCTTTTCCCTAATTTTGACACCTGAATAATTATGCAATTCCAAATATGTCCTTAGGTCTGGTAAAGGGTGTATCCATAACAATCTATAACAATAAAGTTTTGGAGAAAGTAAAAACTGCACAAGTAAAAAAGAAATGAGATTACAACACAAAATGCAGTGTACATTTTCTGAAGAAAATACATGTGATCACCATCTGGGCTCATTAGCAGGCATAACATAGAATGTATTCGCGTTCGGTGTCGATACTTACGTCGGAGAAATACACAACACAAATTTGGCGGAAGACGTTAAAATAAGACACTGGATAACGATGTGTCAGTGTGTTGCCTTGCAATCACAATGACATCACGTGGTTGGGCGTACCTGTGCCAGGTGAGGATGGGCTGGGGGGATCCGGAGGTGATGCAGGTCAAGGTGATGGACTCTTGGTAGTCTGCGGTGGCATTGAACGACTGTTGGAGCACTGACAACACAGGAGGCACTGGACAGAAGAGGAAGGATTAAAAAAGGAAAACACCATCAAAAAGAGACATCGTTTTCTCTTTTTTAAGACCATATACTGTATATACTCAATGTTGGCCCTACGAGTAATGGTAATGGATAAGTATTTGACAAGAGTTCAATTTGAATGAAAAAATGTATCTGAACAAAGCAGTACCTCTTGCTACCCCACTCATTTTATGTTCCTACAATACCCCTCAGCTACATCACCCCCTTCCTTCCCGAGCCATTCCCAAGACACACCCAACCATCAACTCTGCCTTAGACACACCCACCATTTGGTTATCAAATAAAAAGGCAGCTCTAGACACTTTAATTTGCTTTTTATTTATAACGATACACAAACCAACCATGCCTGCGACAATGCATAGTAGGCTGTTCTTCACGGCATGACGGTAAGAATGAAATTCCCTTTCACCGTTCTAGCTACAGAGCATGGAAGGCAGTAGCTACGGGCTAGGGTTAGGGTAACCCTAAACAACCCCTATTACAATGAACAAATGCCGTTGAGCAAAATCAAGAATGCTTGTTTGTTCGCTAAATTTTTTATCAGAGGATTTTGAGCCCGAGATCTCTAATGGAGGGAGAGCCGTCATGATGGCAACTAAAGTCAACAGCAGTTCCAAGCATCCCTGGCCATCCTTAGCCACGAAACGACCAGGCCCGAGTCATTCTGCAGCTGCCGCCGCAATCATCTGACCATCCGCCACCACAGAAGCAAATTCACACAAAGCTAGCTTTAAGTATTTAGTACTTAAGTGTTAACTAAAGCCCAGCCGTTTTAGTATGTGTTAGGCTGCTACTGAAAGTGAATTTGGTGAGTTTTGTGAGTATTAACTCTAAATACACAGATAATATGGGAACGTTAAATTATATTATCCAAAAACTACCCCCCAACGGTTGGCGGAATGTGTTACATTGGTGGACCGCCCTTTTAAAACATACCTTTTTAGTTTAGCTTACTTTCGAATCATGTAATGTTTAAACTCTTTTATATTTAATTAATGTATCTCTGTGATTGTGTTTTATTGTTACTTTAAACTAATTTGTGTTGTTTCTCTATTAAGCACTGTATTGCTATTTTGTGCAAATAGCGCTACATACAGTGATTGATTTGATTGACTAAGTAAGATATTTAATCTAGAATCTAGACAATAAGTTTAATTCCTGATTTTGATAACGCCAGAAAAGTCCCTGATTTGCATCTCTTGAAACCAAGTTCAAACAGCAATGTGAGTGATGGAAAATGGGTGAGAATTGTTGATGGAAGATCAAGAGCTGAAAATGTTAGATGCTGTGATGCTGTTAGGGTTGTTGTTTTTGTACTAAACGTTTGACATTTATACACAATAGTATTACACTGAGTGAGGCGCATTCATATTGATTGATTTTCTGGCCTGAAAAAAAACAAAACCCAAAACAACACAAGACATGAAGAGTTTCATCTACGCTTATGACACCTCCCAAAAAAAATCAATGTTTATTTTCTTTTGTTGAAAACAATCGCCACTTTCCTGGTTTGGTATAAAGGGTTCTCTAAAGGTAGTACCTCTTCTAAAGCACATACACAAGGTAGTTATTAACTGACAGATGCAGAGAACAAATACAGCTCTATGATGCGAGAGGGAAAACTATAGAACACCATTTACTGGCACTGTGTTCAACAATATAAAGAGTCTTGTGTCTTTGCACACAAAGAGGTAATCTAATGCGTAGCAACAACAGGACCAAACAGTTGTACACACCGAACACAGATGAGATCAATAACCACTGACGATGAGGTATGCAAGTCCAAAGGTAAGCATGTCCCTAGTGGTCATCATGGGACATGACACATTTATTTACATGTCACCTGACCAGAGCATCGGGAGGTTCGGGAGATTTCCCGAACGGCCGGACGATTTCAAGCCGAGCCGGCCGGCCGTAATTCTTTATTTTTATTTATTTATTTATTTTTTAGTCCAGGACTGTCATCATACGTCGATCGTAGGTCCGGGGTGTGTTATGATTCGGCCCCCCCCCCCGTCGACAATCGCGCACCCCCGCACCCCCGCACCCCCCCCCCCCCCCCCCGTCGACAATCGCGCAACCCCCCCCCCCCCCCCCCGGTGGCCGTCGTTCCTGTGGTGGGCCAGTCCAGGAGAAAATTGCCCGGGCCGAATTTTGTTCCCAGTCCGCCCCTGCACCTCACCATGAAGTTGTAGATGTCAATCAACTCAGACCTAAAGGGTAAATTGATTTCATTAGAGAAAAAAAACTACTTTTAATTATGTTGTTTGTATGTATGGGAAAAGTTCACAGAAGAGACTTCGGTCGCATTTTAAGAGTGGCATTTCATTGTGCCGATATTTTTTTTAAGAAATGGAAATAAAATTAAATGATTTCAAAGGGGGAGAGAAAAAAACTCATATTTCTCACAAAACATCGATTTTGTACAAAACCACTAAAGCCCTGCTCTTTAGCGGTGCAGTTTCAGAGTTGTTGAACAGTGGAGTACTTCTTTTATGAAGTGTTTGTGTTCGGCTTACACTAGAATACACTAACAAAAATAGAATTCTAGTTGTCGACTGGATATTTGTTCAGGAAGGCAGTATGTATATACTAGTATATACTTCAATGTAATTGAAATAAATTCTTATAAAAATACGCACCCCTGAATAAAGTACTCCTATCCTATACTTAAAGGCACAATGACTAGGATTTTCCTTAAAAAAAAAAGTATAGATTACTACAAAAATAATCCCTCTCAATCATTACTTATGACCCACTAGATGTGTGTGGTGGTGTCTGTATCTTCTCAGACCCTGCCCTCTGCCTGTATTTTCTTATTTGGGCAGTTGGTAGCCGCCAGCCAGGGTATGAGGCGGGGCTCGTAGCAACAAGGTCCCAGATCATAAGCACGCATCCAAGAGGAAGCTACAACAATGGCGGACACAGCACCAAAAAAACTAAAATATATAGCAAGGTGAAACACCAAGCGGACAAAGCTCATCACTTATGGTGTCGTTTAGCTGGGGAGGAGGTGTCAACTTTGAATGTTGTGTTTACAAATCGCAACCAACAAATCCTACTCATTGTGCCTTTAAGTAAACATAAAATAAAGTAGAAAAAAGTTATACTTAAGTATTTATTTTTAGGGTCATATTTTGGATGTGAAGAGAGTCGTTCTATCGTTAACTCTTATAACCGTTGGGTGCTTAAAGCAGTTTAAGTTGATTGTCCAATAACAATCTTTAAAAGGAACCCCGGCTATGTAGACTTGTAGGCCCTAATACGCCACTATTGTTCTCTTGTAGTAAAATATGTTGTTAGAAGCACATAAAATATTGCCATTTCTTTAAAAAAGATATAATATGTAGTACATATTTTGACCTACGTACGCCGCCATGTAATCCGCGCGCAATGCACTATGGGATCGATGACGTAGAATGGTTGCGCTTGGTAGAATAGCTATTGACGTTAGTGCTTGTTTACCCGCGTAGAGTTAGAGTAAAAGTTTTTAAGAGTTAAGTAAAATGCCACACTCAGTACGTTTACATGCACAGAAGAAACCCGATTAAAGCCATTGCTCGTCTATGCTCCGCAACTGGTCAACTGCAATTGTCCGCGTATACATGGCGGCGAGTAATCCGATTCATTGGCCGGAGCATGTAATGCCCCGGTACGATAGGTGGCGCTGTGCCCATTTCAACTAGTGGTAATAGCGCCACCGGTTGACCTCTTTACGTCACCAGCAACAACAAACTCATTCGAGAAAGCGATGTTTCAGCAGACAGCTGTCAGTTCACTTCGGGTGATAATCATTTCTCCGCCGCTCCACTGTTCCTCTCGGTCGTATCCGACTCGGTCGTCCGCGGAGCGGTCCGCATACGACCGAGAG